AACCAATGGACATAAGACACTGGGGGATAGGGAAGGCTAGGGGACTGTCTAGGGCAGGGGGCAGAATGGACACATATGTAATACCCTTTGTAATAAAAAATTTAAAAAATAAAAAAATAAAAATACATATACTTAACTGAAAATGTAAGCACAAAACTTTGTATTATTGCTTCATGTTCTGTCATCTGGTTTCCTTTGTAGGCTCACTGGTGCTGGCTGACTCCACAGAGCGGGTCAGAACTTTATCTGGAGGCAGACAGTTACAGATTTCAATGGCTGAAAAATCTGATGCAGGGCTCTACACCTGTGTGGCATCAAATATTGCTGGAACTGCACAGAAAGACTATACTCTGCAAGTTTATAGTAAGTGATTGATTAGACACACACACACAAACACACACACAAACACACCTCATTTAAAAACAATGGAGAATTCCAGCTCTCAGTATAACATGCCACCTCTGTTAGTCTTTGATCTTTCTTTAGCAGTTAATCTTCTGACATCAAAATGAATTTAAAATCAACAAACAATAAGAGTTGGTGAAGATATGGAGAAAAGAGAACCCTCATTTACTTTTGGTGGGAATGTAGATCGATGCAGCCACTGTGGAAAACAGTATGGAGGTTCCTCGAAAAATTAAAAATGGAACTGCCTCAGGACTCAACAATTCAACTCAGCATATATCCAAATAAACCCAAACACTAACTTAAAAGAATATATGCACCCCTATGTCCATTGCAATGTTATCTGCAGTAGCCAAGATATGGAAGCAACCCAGGTATCCATCAATAGACTAGTGGACAAAGAAGATGTGGCACATGTATACAATGGAATATTAGTTGGCCCTAAAAAAGAATAAAATCTTACCTTTTGCAACACCATGGATGGATCTAGAGGATATTATGCTAAGTGAAATAGTCAGATAAAGAAAGACAAATAGATATGATTTCACTTATATGTGGACTCTAAAGAGCAAAATAAACAAACAAAATAGAAACAGATTTATAGCTACAGAGAACAGATAGAGGTACTGGAGGGGAGAGGGTTTGGGGGGGATGGGTAAAAAAGGTGAATTCTAAAGAGCAAAATAAACAAACAAAATAGAAAGATTTATAGCTACAGAGAACAGATAGAGGTACCGGAGGGGAGAGGGTTTGGGGGGGATGGGTGAAAAAGGTGAGAGGATTAAGAACTACAAATTGGTAGTTACAAAATAGTTACAGGGATGTAAAGTACAGCATAGG